ATCGCGTTAGTTTTCAGCTTTATAACTTAAGTTGAATTTGCATTTTTGATAATTTGTTACTGTAAGTCCATACAGAAAGGTATCAGAATCTGCAAAGTTGTGTTTTACGTTGCATGTGACCTTTAAGAAACCTTGCTCAAACAATGTCCACTGTACATGATTCTGACTACATTAGCATTTGTTTAGGAGTCAATATCAAATAGTGATAATACCAGGTGTTCATGAAAAGGTGAGAGTGTACTGCCCTGCTGTTTACACATGTCACACTTAAGTCAGCTGCTAGTTTCCCTTTGTGTTAACACCTCCAACATAACTGTTGGAGCTCAAATATTGTTAATAAGGGTTTCTTGAATTTGTAATATGTTCCAGTGGTGTAATTACGGAAATAAAGTGAACTGACCTGAATCAGTGTTATTGAGTGTGTAGATGATCAGGAGAAATGGGACAATATGGACTGGATCACATCAAAATAGAGAAGATGACCATATTACTGCTTCTTGACTTTATAGTTCATAGAAATTTTGAACATACACTGTACATTTCCACTGAATCAGATTCCATGTTATATCAGATTGTTGACAGTTTATGTTTAGATGTAGACATGGTGGGCCCATGCAGAGTTATGTTTCCCTGGGTTCTCCAGGATTCGATGATTGTGGGTTCAATTCAGTTATGCTCTAGGTCTTAGTTAGTCATCATGATACAATTTAACCAAAGCTGTGGACAGTAGAATATTATGACTTGTAAATGAAAATCGCAGGAGGATAAGCAAATAAATCTTGTTTGTGTATCAAAACCACATTAAGTAGCCTCTACTTCAGCCTCAAAGCGGAAAGAAGTATAAGTTTTTGTAGACTTTCTGAACAAATAATACAAGCATACGCCAATCCTGTGCTTATGCATCATTTGACAGGTTGATTGCTCTCGGTCTGTTAGAAAGTGAAACTGCTGTCAAACATTCTTGCTGAATATATCTGTACACTCATGCTTAACATGAGAGATGAGGATCGAATGTTAACCGGTTGATTGTATGTATGATGGTGTGGAAAGTTACTCATACTGTCACTCACTGGACTGCCTGGCCCAGCCATGTTATTCACTCACTGGACTGCCTGGACCTGCCATGTTATTCACTCACTGGACTGCCTGGCCCAGCCATGTTATTCACTCAGTGGACTGCCTGGACCTGCCATGTTATTCACTCAGTGGACTGCCTGGCCCAGCCATGTTATTCACTCAGTGGACTGCCTGGCCCAGCCATGTTATTCACTCAGTGGACTGCCTGGCCCAGCTATGTTATTCACTCACTGGATTGCCTGACCCAGCCATGTTATTCACTCAGTGGACTGCCTGGCCCAGCCATGTTATTCACTCACTGGACTGCCTGGCCCAGCCATGTTATTCACTCAGTGGACTGCCTGACCCAGCCATGTTATTCCCTCAGTGGACTGCCTGGCCCAGCCATGTTATTCCCTCACTGGACTGCCTGGACCTGCCATGTTATTCCCTCAGTGGACTGCCTGGACCAGCCATGTTATTCACTCAGTGGACTGCCTGGCCCAGCCATGTTATTCACTCACTGGATTGCCTGACCCAGCCATGTTATTCACTCAGTGGACTGCCTGGACCTGCCATGTTATTCACTCACTGGACTGCCTGGCCCAGCCATGTTATTCACTCAGTGGATTGCCTGACCCAGCCATGTTATTCACTCCGTGGACCGCCTGGACCTGCCATGTTATTCACTCACTGGACTGCCTGGACCTGCCATGTTATTCACTCACTGGATTGCCTGGCCCAGCCATGTTATTCACTCACTGGATTGCCTGACCCAGCCATGTTATTCACTCAGTGGACTACCTGACCCAGCCATGTTATTCACTCAGTGGACTACCTGGACCTGCCATGTTATTCCCTCCTGGGCAGAGCTGGAGGAGTGGAGATGGAAGTGAAAACACTTTTTCTGTAATGTGTAAAAATTTCAGACTGATTACTTCATTATTCCCATAGAAGGCTGACTAAAATAAGATTTAAAGTTATAATGTGTGACAGGAATATTGTGTCATTTCACTGCAGTGTCATGGACTGTTGATCATACTGTTAACCACTAGTATTACTGGTCCATCTTAGACCCATGAAGATCCGGGGTAGAATAGGTCTTCAGCATCCCATGCTTGCCACAAAAGGCAACTATGCTTGTCGTAAGAGGTGACTAACGGGATCGGGTGGTCAGGCTCGCTGACTTGGTTGACACATGTCATTGGTTCCCAATTGTGCAGATCGATGCTCATGCTGTTGATCACTGGATTGTCTGGTCCAGACTCAATTATTTACAGACTGCCGCCATATAGCTGGAATGTTGCTGAGTGTGGCGTAAACCAAAACTCACTCACTCAACTCACTCATTCTGGACCATCTTAACTAATCAGTCTGCAGTGATGCAGCAAAAAACTCTAGCTTGACAACATGCAAACATGTCTTTCTTGTTTGCTGAAGATTATTATTGGTTTTTGTATTGTCCAAATTCATGGATATTCTTATTCCAATCATATTTCAATTTTCTGATTGTGTTATGCGACATCTCTTTTGCATCTAGACCCATGAAGGTCCGGGTTAGAATGTACCTTCAGTAACCCATGCTTGTTGTAAGAGGCGACTAACAGGATCGGGTGGTCAGGCTCATTGGCTTGGTTGACACATGTCATTGGTTCCCAATTGCGCAGATCGATGCTCATGCTGTTGATCACTGGATTGTATGGTCCAGACTCAATTATTTACAGACCGCCGCCATAAAGCTGGAATATTGCTGAGAACGGCGTAAAACTAAACTCGCTCACTCACTCACTCACTCTTTTGCATCTAAAGCATTATGACTGTAAAAATATGTTCACAGGTATATACTACTCAAAAAGAGATTTACTTAACTGAAATGACGCATCTATATCAAGACACATAATAAATATAGGGAACATGGTGTTTTTAGTTTCCCTTCTCAGCAATCCAGTGTTTCAATGTTGGGAAGAAATTAATCTGAGGTGTTTGATGAAGTTGCTGTAAAATCTTTAGGTAGTACTTCATGAGTAAGAACTGTGCAGAAGCTGCAATCTGATATCCCACATCACTGAACCACAACTGTGACTGGAGGACAATGAAGTCATGAAAAGTATTGTATTGGCTATATCAGTGTTATGATGCATTAGGGTATAACATTACCCTAACGACAACATTTCTTTCTGTTTTTCATTGCCATTATTGACTGTAATTTTTCTGCCAACCTGAAAATAAAAAAAGCTCTTTTTATTTTATTTTTTGCCTTATTTATTTAACTGACTGCCGATTCAATTGTTTCCTTCCTGTGTCAGTGCTGGGATGAAGGTTGTAGGTAGAAGAGGACAAGTGAAAATTCACAAGAAGGCTTAGCACTATTAACATTCTTTACTTACATTTCATTTATTAATCTACTTTCATATATTAAAGAGGTAAGAAAGTGTTTTAATAACCTAGATGTCTAACTTTATGACAGTAACATCTGTTTCAATCTAGTTGTAATTGTATGGACCTGCGGCCTTAAAAATCTAATAAATTCTGTCTGTCTGTCTGTCTGTCTGTCTGTCTGTCTGTTTCAATCTAATTTGATGTTCTCTGCTGCTATCTATTAGAACCTGTAATTGTTTATCCTTTAGTATTTACTCATTGCCCATATAAACTACCTACAAGATTGACTTTGCTGACTTGAATGTACAGCAATGGTTCTATTTTCTAAAATTAGTCAGTCACTATTCACAAGCTGAAGTCAGGTCATCAGAATGTGCACTTCAAGTTAAAACTTATTTATCTCCTCGATGTCTAATTGATGAAAAGATATGGGAATATTAATTATAACTGATTTGATGACATTTTCACTGATAGAACTCAGTGCTCTCATGACACAGGGGCACTACAGTGGACTCTCAGGTCAAGACATTCATGTGTTGCCCCAGTCACAGGGTCTGGAGCTCAAATCAACAACAGTCTCACTTACCAATAGCAGGGATTAGATTTTGAAGTCTTAGTGAGGACATTATCTGTATAGGAAATGAGAGGCCATATATCTCTATATAGTCTCTGGAAACACCAATGATCAGAGTTGAGGTGAATCCAGGATTACTGGTCGTGACTAGTGGATCAATGTTACTCAGAAACAGAAGTTTGTGCAGCAATTTGTGGCACCAGTGAGATCACCCCTCATATATTGCAATATAGCTAGACTACAAGTGATGACTAAAGATAGTAAAACCATTACATGCATAAATTACATGTTCTACTGATTACAGTTGTACATATACTGCCTTGGCATGGTTGTCCAAATAAAATAAATGATTTGAGCATAATCTTAAAATTGATTTCTGCTGTCCTTACAGATGGTTATGCAATTTCTTGTCACACTCAGTTGTGTTAGCCACAAACTGACTCATGGCCACAAATGAGTCCTAGGTGGCAGTGTTGTACAACTTAGTTGTTAGCTTGAAGCCTTAAAAATGGTTCCACGTTAACTGATTTTGAACATGAAAATTATTCTTAAATCAACAATGATCCTTGAGGCAGTGAGACTAATATTAATTATAACACTAATAATAGAAATGTATTAACAGAAGTTGGAAACAATTTACCTTCACCTAGTGACTACAAATGAAATTATAAACATAGATCATGAATGTATGTAAGGCCTGTCATATGTAATAACTTGGTTCAGTTGATTGATTGATTTAATTGATTTAATTAATTTACTGTGTTTAATTTAAGTGTTGGGGATCAAAATTGCAGAATATTGTGTTTGTTGAAGTTGGCATTTAATTGTAGAGTCCATATGGGAAAAGTGTCAAGCACCTGTAAGCCATGCTAGCTATAAGTGGAGATTACAATTATTATTCTGTTATAAATTCATGTTGCAAACCATGAAAATTGGCCTATGTCTGCCATACTATGATTGTTTTATTTAACAGATTCAGAGGGGAAACAAATGACTACACTTGATTTTATTTTTATTCCACATTTGAGAAATGTAATGGAGCTGTACAATGATGTATAGATAAAAGCAACAAACATTGATATGCAAAAAGCAGTTAACATTACCGGGTTCACATACTGTATGTACATGTAGCATTTAGTATGATGTTCACAACAAGAATATACATGTATACTGATGTCTTGCACCGATGCTCATAAACCATAAGGGGATAATGCACTCACTAAGATGACAGATACATGGCTGGTGAGTTGAGGTCCTTGTTTGAATTTACGTCTATACAATAATGATGGTTTGAAATAATTTAAAGTGATTGAGCCATTTCCTTCAGGCTAAAATGAGAATAGCATTCTTCTCATTGTATTCTGGAAGCTAAAAAGTAATGCTCTGTCTTATAGTTGAACTGTTAATCATTTAACAGTGATATGTAATGCCTTAGACCTTTTTGTCCAAACATTTTCTTGTACATAAATAGTTTCCAACAAAGAAAGTTTTGGTCCATCTCCACAGGGTACATAAATATGTTGAGACAGTGTGTACCAGCGAAATAAGCAAATCCTAATCTTTCTTTGAATTACTAATGCACCTTGTCACCTCATGTACAGCGGACGATATGTTTTTCTTGTCTGAAATAGGGAACGAGTTTGCCTTGGACTTGGCCTGACACTTCCAGGTCTGGTCTTGTAATGTAGTTGAGGACTATCACGAGGTGTTTGTCTAGCAGATGCAAGAGGGTCTTCAGATCTGCTTGATGTCCTGGACTGATGTCCATTCATCAGAGACAGATCTGTGCTCTGTCGGCTTGGGCAAAGCATAGACATGGTGTTGCTTTTCAAAGAGATATTAGTCGTCTGTCTAGATGTAGATCTGGATAAATCTGTTCCTTGTCTGGACACTGACCTACAGAAATCTGTACTTTGTCTTGATATTGATTGGTTATCAAGGTGAAGTTCTGAAATCTGCCGACTAATTAGTGGTTGCTGGTATCGAGGTGTTTTCTGCTTAGGTGATGTAGGCACAGTATCAGAATTGGACCTGTTTACTAGCATGTTGGCAGGTCTAGGACTTCTCTTCAGTCTTCTTCTAGGACTCCTGCTGAGTTTTGTTTGGTAGCTTCTCTCATTGTTGTTGGCTGACATGTCAAAATCAAAACGGCTATCAAACGTTGAAGTTTGTTCAGAAGAAACAATGCCTTGGTACACCTTGCCATCTCTACTGATATTCTTGTCATTGGTTCTCTCGTGTACAGACTGATACTGTTCATGTCTCCTATGCTGTTGTTCAGCATGATAATGAACACTCTTCAGCTGATTCAACAGATTCTCAAGACCATTAGTATCCTTCTGCAGATCCTGAAACTCCTGCTCTGTCTGGTACATCTGTTTCTCCTTCTGACTTTTCACTGCCAACACATCATCTATCAAGCTGTGTATCCTTTTCGACAGTGGCTCCTGAAGCTGCAATGTGGCAGCCTCTTCCAACTTCTGAATCTCTCTCTCCTTACCCTGCAACTGTTCCTCCAGTGCTTGTACTTGAAGCTGCTTTTCCTCAACTTTCTCATTAAGGTGCCTGAGTTCATCCTCCAGGTTTTCAATCCTTTCATTGGACTCTTTCTCTGACTTCATCACCTCCAAGTCCTTATTGTCAAGATACTGTTTCAGTGAGGCTTTGTCGGAAAGGACATTCTTCACCATGCTACTCACATCATTTTCTGCATGTTGCTTTTCAGTTTCACTAAACTGACTGGAAATACTTGAAAGTATGTTGTCCTTGTTTGACACAACATTCAACATTTCCTTTGCTACTCTGTCCAGTAACTCAGAGGTGACATTTGATTCAACAATGTTAAATTCTCGAATTCCCTGACTATGAAGGTAGGTCACCAGTCTCAGATGGATATGTTCGATTGTCAACCGCAGATGTTTGATGTCATTGACATCCTCTTCATTATGGAAATCTTCCAGTGTTTGCACAGCCTTTTCCAGTACAGATGTACTCTGGCTTCTGCTTGGAGGATCATAACTGGGCTGTATATTTGTATTATCATCAGAGACGAAATCACCTTCCCTAGTGTACACAATACCTGGAACATACAAATGTTGATAGAAACAAAACCACCAGAATAAACTCCAATTATTCTTCATGCCAATGTAACATGTGAATACAAAATCCTGTTGAGGAAGTAATAACAATAATAACAATTCATGTATAAAGCGTGTATCCTTTTGACTAGTTGCTCACTGGATGCTCTAATCACAATCTGATTATTATTACCCTGGATAACCCAACTCAGCGTGAAGAGAGGCAATTTTGAACAAACTCACTTGCCTAAGGTGAGACCACATGTATCACATGTGCTTCGTTGTGGGGCAGGACTGAAGTTCTAGAAACTCTCAGGAGTCAAGCAGCCATACACGGTCACCCATCCAAGGGACTCTCTGCGCTCGATGTTGCTTAACTTCAACTGAGCTCTATGCACAGGACCACATACCACCACATGGTCAAATGTAACATGTAAGTTATATTTGGAATTACACTTTCTCAGTAAAGTACAGATTCTAGCACTTTTGGGTTTAGTTCCATTTGGGATTTGAACCCACAGGCACCTAATCACCATCACACAACATCAGCAATGTAACTCACTCAGCCACCATGGCTTCCTAAATATATCTGACAGCTGGTGGTATAGATCTATGTTGAAGGTTATTCATTGTCTGTATGTGAATGTTCATGGCACCATCCTGAGTTTTCTGCTCTCGTTCCATTGTTTGAAAACATGCATGAAAGTCAATTAGTTCTTGTCATTGCCCAAATGCAGGAAGTTCTAGATGGAAACATGGCTTTTTGAGCATACATCAAGTTCTCCAGGCCCCACTTAAATTTGTAACATTGTTGACAACATTTTAATGCCATATTCAGTCAGTCCTTGGCTCATGGTTTCAGTAGAAGGTATGGGAAAATGACAACAATATTTTGAACAGGGGACATTACATACGTCTCTGCTTGTTGTAGAATGTCTCCAACTCTTCTCTGATCCAAGGTGCCTGTCCCTCCAGCACTCGTAGTAGGGTGGGAAAGGCATTGGGGCCACGGCGTGGAAGGACTGACAGGAACTTGGCATTCTTGGCTTGCACAGTCGCCTCACACTGAAGAAGATTGTCATCATGTCTTCATACAATGTCTGTGTCAGTCTTGCTAGAAATTTCTCAAAGTCTGTAAGCATCGGTGTTCGTATACCTTCAGTAATGGATGATTATTATCTTAGCCTAATGGAACAGACAACATTTCGCATTCTTAGGCTTCTTTCTGGTAGTTAAGTAGAGATAGTGCAGATAATGTACAAAAATAATACCAGACTATTTTAGAAGTGCCTGTCATTTTAGAAAATATATAATCATATGAAGTAGTCCAGTATTGAATTCTGCAAAAGTACTGAATTAAGTTTTCACCTCAGACCTAAAACCCATTATAGTCTTATATGACTATTGAACTGGTCAAACACTATATCCGTCACCATCAGTGGTGAATCAAACATCATTACCGAATGTTCACTACACTACAGGGAACCTTAACTGATGTGAGTCAGCACTTACACCAACCTGCAGAAACTCAGCACTGTTACAGCCTCATTGTAACCCTTTTGTTTGTTTTCTAAAACCTATCTTCATTTCAATCATTATCATTAAAACTATTTCCCAGTTATCAGCTGTCACCTCACCTGCACAAGTGTATTTCTAGCCACCTTGCTATTGGAGTAAACCACCTTGGCGTGTCAGTTGTAATATTTAATGAAAATGTGAAACCTTCAGTTTCTGATAGGAATTTGTGTACCAAACACTTCCAATAAGGCCATTTATCATTACTTGATTTACAGAAATTTTTCTCTCCATACTTGAAGTTGGTGGTCAGTAAGGCTGTAACGATTCACTCGCATATTCGGTGAATCGAACCGTAGCTCTTCATGAATTCAATTCGTTATTCGTGGTCATGAGAACCAAATATTTACGATTTTTTTAAGGGAGCATGTTTTACTTGGACCCTTGTGTACTTTTGGAAAGTGAGATATGTAAGTATTGAATATGTACTAGCATTGCTGTAGTGCAAGTCATGTTAGTTTGCCAAGGCCGCACATGGCAGTTGACTATAACTTTTACATACCAAACTTGAGCGTCATGAGATCACTGGTTACTGCTGTGACAATACGGGCGTTCCATATTGTACATCAATCACTTAACTACAATATTGTATTCATGAATAATTATTCGTATTCGTTACCCAATATTCATGATACGTATCATATTTGCCACATAGTGTATTCGTTGCAGCCCTAGTGGTCAGGGGGAACCACTCCTCACCCCAAAATGTCACCATTCTCATATGGAATATTGCTGAGTGCAGTGTAAAACTAAACTCACTCACTCACTCTTCTAAGAACCAACCAAACATAAATATCTGGTGGACATTCATGCTATCAACCAGAGCCATGCACCAAAGTCTGCAATCTAACCCACCCAGGAACCGCTGCTTCCACACAAAATGGAAGTCTGACAACTGGTAGTCTAGATCACATACTTTGTGCACACCCTGAAAAGTACTTTAAGTTTAATACAGATACTTACACTAATATCAAGTGTGATGTATTTTCAAAAGGTGACAAGAAAACGTTACTGTGTTGATGCAATTCAAATGTTGATGCCAATGATGCATGCTGTTTATATTTGCTGACATCAAGACCTTGATCACGACTGTCAAGGACTCAAAGACCCCCCTAAAACTACATTCCATGATGAGAAAGAATTTCCGTCGTGTCATATGTAATGCATTCACATACCACAGTTACCAGGATGTATCTATAAAGGTAATTTACTGTAAATGTCATCTGTGAGATTATCCTTCAATAAATCTTCATTATCTGAATGTGATGTGTCTATTTCTGATACACAAGTCTGAGTGACGGTAATCTCTGTGCATACAACTTTACGAATCTGACTTGGCCTGCTGGTTAAATATTATCATAGCTAAAATATATTGATCATGTTTTGTAGGCTATTGAAAAGCATTCATACATGGAACTGAGCCTTCAAAGTTAATGTGCAGGGAGGGGATTTTGTTGTTGTTGGAGACTATTGTTTAGAAATTAAAATGGTATCATAATTTGATGATAATAAATACTGAGAATAGCAAAATACCATATATTTCACTCCAGGGTAAATCTAATTTCATGTTTAATTTTTTTCTAAAGTTGTTAAAATGATGATTAATTTATAAGACTATGCAGGGGTGGAAATAACTTTAAAATTGCTCGTGTACTCCGATACAGTGGCACATGTAAAATCACTTGCCCTAATAATTTTCCCACTATACCAGCCGTTTTCTTGTTGATTTTTTAAATAAATAACATTATTAACATTGGAAAGTCAACTGGACACTGGTACAGCGTGATATACAAATTTGCTTGCCGGACAGAAAAAAAACACTGGACTCGGACGTCCGGCAATGGGTTATTTCCACCCCTGCTATGTAATGGATATAAATATTTTGCTTTGTCTTAACTGGTTTGATTTAGAACCGAAAGAAAACTAATCATCACTGTATAAAATGTGTATGGTTTTAATCAAACACAGCTCTAACAAGATATTTTTTAAAACAAGAAAACATTTTCAGATATTTTTTTATGCATGGAATGTTGTAGCCATTTTGAACATGAATGTAAAAAGATGTGACACAATTTGATATTGAAAAAGACCCTTTAAGTTGTATTTTCAAAGATGAGGTTTAAACTGATTCAAATAAACAATTTCAGAGTTGCACTTTGTATTATAACTAACAGACAGTGGAGCTGAATGACTTACTGTGATCTCCTCCTTGAGGTCGAGATCTAAAATCCCTTGCTCTATGAACTCTCCCAGGAAAGTTTCACTCAGAATGATACCTTCAACCAACACGTTGTGGAACTTCTTGAGAGTCGCTTTCTTTTTCATTCATTGCTACCAACTTCCAGTCAGCCAGTCTTCAGTGTTAACTTCATGAGTGATACCATTTTGATTATATTGCTAATTGTCTTACCAAATGATAAATATAGAGATTATCACAACCACTGTTATGATGCAACTGAGTGTTATTGTCCATTGTTCCAGAGCTCTTCTAGTGTCTTTGAGCAGTGTCCAGAATGGGTCCAGTTAAGTTTCATCTTCACATCCATACAATTGAAAATTGAAAGTAATTGCCATAGTCTTCAAATCCTTTTTACGGCATTTACGCTTTTCAACATTGTTAGTCACTGGACCTGACTCACTAGTATTCCACTATTCTACTATACGTTTGTAGTCAGTGTTCCTAACTCTCTTCACTTTCCTATATTAGATGAAATCTGTCAGTCATACTTAGGTAGTCATCCATCAGACACCTGGGGTTGCCCGTGACGTAAAGCCAAGTAACCCGATTCACGTATATCGCATATATCAGGTCTAGATGGTTTCAATTGGTGCACTGCTCTACACGGTCGCTGTGAACACTAACCTACCTAGCAGCAACAAAACAAAAGATAAGAAATATAAATGACACACTATCATATATCCCTGCCATGCTGAGCATTGGAGTTGGTCCAAGTCAGCATTATTGTATAGATCTCATCTACAGTTTTGGATTGTAATTGCAATATGACAATTCACATGATTATGACAGTGGTCTGTACTTGAGGAAGCTTCAGAAATAAGTCACTGTGTTGATGCATTGATCACTCAAAGTTTATTATATATCATTATTATAACAATTGTTGCCTTATGTGTGATTGTATCCAGTGATTATTGGTCCCAAAACAAAATTTGAAGAGTTAGATCTCTTTAGCTCACCTGGTCTGAAATGCCATTTGTTGTCCATCATCATCCATAAATGTTTTACATTTATTTTTATCTTCTCTAAAATGGCTTGATGGATCTAGATGACATTTTACATGGATGTTGTTTAAGGTTTGAAAATTGTGTTTTCATTATGACCACATTTTTTAACTTTAAAAATAGTTGGAAATGTATTAAAAATCTTGGTAAAAAACTGTAAGGGCCAGATCAAGGCCTGAAACTTTGTAAGTGACATGGTCAACATATGTAGTTCCAAGTCTATCACTGGAAATCAAATATGGCTGCCAGTAGCCATTTTGGAATAAAACTAAACTGTGTCTTCCCTCAGAATCAGAGACTGCTGAACTATGATTGTACCTACACATGATGTCACCTGAATTTGTTAAGGAGGTTTGAATCTTACAGCAGCAATTGCAGTTTTGACAACAGCCTTTCTTAGTGGTCCACTGACTACATATCCAGGTGAGCTACAAAGGTTGAGGGCACTATTTTTACATATTATGTAATACTATTAAATAAAGTAAGGGATATTGAGTAAAGGGTGTCACAGTTATTGATATTTCACATCTTAAATGTGATAAATGTTTTACAGTGTGACAGGGACATCTGACTGAGATTTGCATTAGTCTTTAAAAGTCAGATGATAGATTTTGTTGGATGATTGACCAAAGAGCCCTGAGTATATAAAGTCAACACTCATTAATATTGGGGGATCCGCCTGGCCTGATGTTTCTTTTGTTCTTTCCATCTTCCATGGGGGCTGTGGGGGAGCATAATGGTTAAAGCGTTGGCTCGTCACGCCGAAGACCCGGGATCGAATCCCCACATGGGCACAATGTGTGAAGCCCATTTCTGGGTCCCCCGCCATGATGTTGCTGGAATATTGCTAAAAGCTACATAAAACCAAACTCAGTCAGTCAGTCCATCTTCCATGATGCATAAGTTGCTTTTCATTTAACACTAGTTATCCAAGAATACCTCAGCAACTGTCCTGTGGAGCAGCCACTGGGGTGTTTCAACAGGCTCCACTGGATTGCTGTTGGATTGTTTGTTGTTTTACGCCACACTCAGTAATATTCCAGCTATAAGGTAGCAGTCTGTAAATAATCGAGTCAGGACCACACAGTCAAGTGATCAACAGCATTGGGATACAATGAAATGTGTCAACCAGAGTTCTGTTACGTGTAGTGCACATGAATATGTTGATGAATTGAGCTACTGTCAAGATTTTGATAAATTGTCCCACAGGACCTGGATTAGACTAAGTATCAACACCCTAGTTCTTATCAGAAGAGGTGGCTAAATTGGAATGGGTCAGCAGATTTGGTAACTTTGTTGATTGTGTGTCACCTATTGTGTTGTGTTGTTTATAATGTCAACCACTAGTCAAGACTAGATTATTTGCAGACTGCTGTAATATGGCTGGAATATATCGGACTGATACATTATTACAACAATCAAACAAACATTAAATTTATTCACACCAAATGTCAGAGTAAATGTCTTTATTTGATTGATGGCATCAAAATCTTAAATATAGTTATCAATCAATATATAATCGAATGAATGAATGTTTGAATACTTTTGACATTATACATAAGCCGATTGGGCAGTCTAGTGGTTAATGTGTTGACTCATCATGCTCAAACTGGGGTTTGATTCCCCATGTGGGTACAACGTGGGAAGCCATTTCTGATGTCCCTCGTTGTAATATATTGCTAAAATATATTGCTGGAATATGGCTAAAATCGTTGTAAAAATATACTCACCTAATATTGTCAACCAAATAAACTACACAGTCTTGCAATTCCATGGGTAGGATTATGGTTTGTTAATTACTACAATCCACTGTGTAGGCATGACAGGATCTAATGATTATCATCATCATCATCATCATCAACTAGGAACTTATATAGCGCAAGAATCCAGTCAGTATAACTGCTCAAACGCGCTTTGAGAGAATGCATGTCACATGTATCAGCAAAGTCCACTCGGTCTAGGCGTATGTCTTTGAGAATAAGTGAGTCTTGAAATTGGTTTTAAAAGTGGCCAAGTTATTTATAAGTCTCAGTTCTAGTGGCAGATCATTCCAGATTCGTGGAGCTGCTCTGGCAAAAGATCGATCTCCATAGGTGGTGGTCCTTGCATGTGGAACACACAGCATGCTTTGTCCAATGGATCTAAGAGACCTGGCTGGCTTGTATTCCTGGAGGAGTTCCTGGAGATACACAGGGGCTAGGCCTGTCCTTGCTTTGAAGGTTAACAGGAGCACTTTATAAGTGATTCTGTCTGCCACCTTCAACCAATGAAGTTTCTTTAGCACTGGAGAAATGTGGCTGTCTTTCTTTGTCTTTGTTACAAGTCTAGCTGCACAATTCTGAACGCGCGTTGCAGCTTTGCAATCAATTTCTTTGGTAGTCCAATTAGAAGAGCATTGCAGTAATCTAAATGGGACACAACACAGCACTGAACAAGAGATGTCACGGTCTTTAGATTTACAAATCGACGTATTTGGGCAATGTTTCGGATATTAAAATATGCATGTCTGCATACTTTGTTTACATGGGACTCTGCATTCATAGATGAGTCAAATACAAATCCAAGATTTCGTGCTTCTTTGCTTGGTTCAATGATGCAACCTCCAATTTCAAAGATGGGCAGAGCAAGTTTACTTCTCGTTGACTTTGAAGAGAGAATCAGCAGTTCCGTCTTCTCACTGTTGAGCTTGAGAAAGTTTAGGGTCATCCAGTCCTTGATGTCCTTGATACAGTTCATCAAACGACGATATGTATCCTCTACTGATGTTCTGTTGGAGGGCTTGAAGGCCAGATACAGCTGGGTGTCGTCAGCGTAGAGATGGAACGAGAGATTATTGGCGCGAGCAATGTCCCCAAGAGGTGATGTGTAGATTGTGAACAACACTGGTCCCAGTACAGAACCCTGTGGAACTCCATACTTGAGGCTAACTTTCTCTGACATTTGCCCATTGACTCTCACAGCCTGAAATCGTCCAGACAGATAGGACTCCAGCCATAAATAAGCTTCACCAGTAACTCCGAATCTCTCATTCAATCTCGTGAGAAGAATGGACTGATCAATTGTGTCAAAAGCAGCTGACAAATCGAGCAACACCAACACTGCCGCACCATCTGAATCAATGGCCTGCAGCAAGTCACTCTGCACACGCACAAGAGCTGTTTCCGTGCTATGATTACATCGGTATGCAGACTGCAACGTTTCTTCTTTCCCAGTTCGGATGATATGATCATGAAGCCTTGACGCTGCCACTCTCTCCATGATCTTAGCAGCAAAGGGCAAGTTGGAGACTGGTCTGTAATTTTTTAGGTTGTTTGAGTCCAGCCGAAGATTCTTGATCAGTGGTGTTATAGATGCTAACTTGAAGGTTCTAGGAACACAAGCTTGACTGAAGGAAGCATTGATCACACTGGTTAGTGTTGGTACTGTTTCATCGAGACACTCCTTCAACAACCAGGTCGGCATGGGGTCTAGTGAACAAGACTTTGTAGGACTCCTCACAATCACCTGTCTCACCTCCATCTCAGATGCTGGTAGGAGACAAGACAGCTTTGGAATATCCGTCATATTCATGTCGGCATGAGCTGTGGGCGAGGTTTGTATGATCGTCTGCAAACTTGTGAGGTATGATCGAATTTTCTCAATCTTTTCTGTGAAGAATGATGAGAATGTTTCAGCAATAACGTCTTCAGGAAGACCGTCTGGTAAGGCTTGAGACTTTGTCTTGAACAGTAGTCTGTTAGAGATCTTGAATATTTCCTTCTGGTCTTTTGCTGCTTCCACGATGTCAGTGAAATATATCCTCTTCGCCTGCTCAACCAATGCATTTACCCTATTCCGTGCTTGGGAGTGCATCTCTTTATGTACAGTGAGCCCACTGTGTCGCATAGTTCTTTCAAGTTTACGCCGTTCTCTTTTTGCTGCACGGATTTCATCGTTGTACCATGCCTCTCTCAAATGAACAGTTACAGTTCTTGTCTTTGGAGGAGCGTGATGGTCTACAACTTCTCTGACAATGGTGTCATAATTCTCAGCCATTTCCTGTACTCCAGTACCAGTGTCTTGAACCAGAGAATCTTTCAGCTCGGTTTTGAACTGCACCATGTCAATGCTCTTCCATTTCCGAAATGTTATTACATTCCTCTGCCTCCGAGGCACTTTGAAGCTGGTCGTTGCTAGGACAGCAAAGTGGTCTGACATGACAGAATGATCCATGTGAATGTTCTTGACATTTAAGTCATCCTTCCTGGTGATCACAAGATCCAGTGTATGGTTCTTCACATGGGTTGGTTCCTGAATATGCTGGAGAAGACCATACGAGTTCAGAAGACCCAGAAACTTAACTGTTTCAGGAAGGTCTATGTTTTCAGCGTGAATGTTAAAGTCACCACATAGTAACAGTTTACCTTTTATCAATATCAAGTCTTCTATAAATGAAGAAAATTCATTGAGAAAACCTGTTTCCGCCAACAACATTCTGCCAGGGGGCCTGTACACACATGACAGTACCAGATGTTCATCGCCAGATTTCAGTTTGATAGTAATATGTTCAAAAGATGAGAAGCTATTCCCAATTTTAAGTTGAGTGCAATGGTAGGAGTCTCTGTATAAAATACCGACACCTCCTCCATGCTTGCCAGTCCTCGCCTTATGGATGAACTTAAAACCGGGTGCAGTGAGTTTATTGATAACCAAATTGTCAGTGTCACCCTCCCGTAACCATGTCTCTGTGATGGCCAGTATGTCCAACCTGTTGTCTAAAACAAGAGACTGTATAGTCTCTGGCTTATCAACAGTCACTGATTGAGTTTTTACTGATCTAGCATTCAAAACACCAATTCTGGATTCATAAGTTTTGTATGTCATAGTGTTCTTGTTCAAGATTGAATTTGATTTCAATCCACCACGACATCCTCTTCGTGTCTTCTTCACACTACAAATATCTAGTGACCTTATTAAGCTGAGAGTTGGTAAGGGTAACTTGTGATGAGTTCTTTTTTCCACGTTATGTAACTCCTCTGATGTATATACCAGCATTGTTAACAACACAGTGCATGACAAGCTGATTACATAAATCTGCATGGTCCATTGAACGGACTCAGGTGGCAAGTCTATTGTTCTCTTGATTGCCAACAAGCTTGGGCACGCTGCTTAAATTCCGTATATCACAAATATCAGCAAATAATATCCTCAAATATCTCCACAGCAAAAAGGAATATAGTCCAAATGATTTCACGGTTGTGTTCCCTGGTACTCGATACACATTCAAGACAAATTTCACGCTTCTAGTCAACAGCGTTATTGAGAAATAACAAGTGAAAAGCAGAGCTCTCAGAGGTGCAGCCAGCATGGCGCACACTTCTTCACATTATCTGTAACCATTATGTGTTTGAATGGTTACAGATTTGGCCTGACTACAATCAGTGGTTTGTCAGCAGCATACAATAGCTCAATGATTTCAAACAGTAAATGTCAAAATCTCAAAAAATACCATCCTCATGTTTTTATTGGCCAAAAATGTAAACTTCCAAAAAAGTTTTAATTATTGTTTTTTTTGTCCCATATACACTTCATAAATTGCCCAAAATAAAATACTTTTAGTATTCAAAAGGAATATTACCTTGACTGGTGATTTTTTTTTTTTATTTTTTTCCCTCCTGCCTTTAGGTTTTCTGAGGACAAAAATCCATAAAACAAGAAATAAAATTGGTCTGGCCTCTTCAACAGGACAGTATTGATTGTCCTCTGTATTTGGGAATAGTAATGTTCTCATCTATTAACTAAAAAGTAGAAAGACCAGGCAAAGGTAGATAGTTGATTTTGCATTGATTGAATTGTTATGTAATAAATAACTTCAAGTGGCATTAGTGTCCCACCAACCAGTGAGTGTAGTCTTAGCAGGCAGATCCCTTCCTGGTTGTACTCAGTTTCTCAACTGACCGTGTCTTCTTGCTACATACCTGCATGTTGTATTTCTGACATAGCTTATAGTTTTACACTAACATTCTGTTTTAAACTCTGTGACCACCATTCTTTCATACATTGCTGTAAATCCCTATTTGTACTACAGTGCTGTGATTATTGTATACAAGGTTTGCACAGATCTGGAAAGATTTATCAGATGCAAAATGCTTGATTCTGCCATTTTACCATTGAAGTGCTGGAATTCTTTTGACAATTCTTGAAAATTGCTTGAATGTAAATAAATGGTAATAATAGTGTTGAAAATATATACTTCCTGTCCATAATAAATCTCTGCTTAATGCAAAGTTGTTAGTAGAATATATACTAACTCAACATGCAAGACACACTGTCTTCTGTCTGTTATAGGTCACATGCATTATTAGCGTGTTGTATCACTGAATATAGTTTAATTGTTGTGGCATGCATTATTACGTCCATAATAAATCTCTGCTTAATGCAAAGTTGTTAGTAGAATATTGACGAACTCATGAACACGACATGAAAGATTTATCAGATGCAAAATGCTTGATTCTGCCATTTTACCATTGAAGTGCTGGAATTCTTTTGACAATTCTTGAAAATTGCTTGAATGTAAGTAAATGGTAATAATAGTTTGAAAATATATACTTCCTGTCACAACATGCAAGACACACTGTCTTCTGTCTGTTATAGGTCACATGCATTATTAGCGTGTTGTATCACTGAATATAGTTTAATTGTTGTGGCATGCATTATTACGTCCATAAAAAATCTCTGCTTAATGCAAAGTTGTTAGTAGAATATTGACGAACTCATGAACATGACTTTCAGAGTAACTATATAATATGAAATAATGTTGATACCAAGTGTTCGCAGAAAGATCATATCCTGCACCACTGGTACCAACCATCACAAACAAGTGCAAAGGCGATTCCATTGTTCACCTGAAAACCAATACAAGTACGCATGGTATAAATTAGTCAAAATAGGAAAGTGCTACTGACATCAATTGTATCTCTGATGCATTACTTTTGGAAATGTCCTCCACACCATAATTGTTTTAAAGCTTTCGTGAGGCATTACATGTTGTAACCTCAAGCAAACAACTTCTGGGCAAGATTCATGTCACTACCTTTGAAATCTTCATATAAAGAGCATGCTTTATTGTACCTGAAAAGTTGAGAAAAAGCTGGATCTGTTGGGATATTTCTTCTTCGTTGAGTGACTTTAGTGAGTGTGATGAACAAGGGGATAGTCCTTTGTATACATAACTGCCTTATTTATACAACACATATATATATATGTAATAAAGAAGTTGTAGATCTATATAAACACCATCTCCCTTGTAAGGATATTGTTTGACATGAGGGAAAGTCATAGGAAAGGACATTTTTAATGAAAGGAAGACCTCCAGTTTGAGTGAAGACCTCCAGTTTGAGTGAAGACCTCCAGTTTGAGTGAAGACCTCATCAGGTGTTAACCAGTGTGGCATTGGGCAGTGCCAGCTGTGTCTCATGCTGTTGTGGCACTCATCTTGATCATGAAGACAAATGTTTTCCTTGAAGACTGTATAAAAAGTGCTTGTATTTAGAATCCAATGATATGCATGGGGCCAGTTATACAACTCTTATTATCCAGCTACAAAACCATAAAGTTGCATGGATAATCTGTCCACTGCATTTAATCTCATGCCTTATACATGTACTCAGTCCAGTGTAGTGATTGTTCAGTTTGCTGAAGTATATGTGAGCATTATTCATCCTTCATACTTTGTATCAAAAGCTTACTTTGAGGACTCAATACCAAACACATCATGTTATTTTATTGTTCTCAAGTATTAACAGTTAAATACAATGACAATATGTGTTCCTTTCCTTCTGCACTTGATGTGGGGTCCCATCAAATGTTATAAAGACAGTCTTCGATAGGAAGTCTTTCTTTAGCATGTTCACTGAGTTTGAAATACAAATAAGGAAATCCCTTAGAAGAATCTGCTCTACTTCAAGTTAGAATTGGTCTTCAGCAACCCTTGCTTATCATAAGAGTCAACTGAAGTGATCAAGTCTATTCTGGGGTTCAAACCCACACCCTCAGAGTCAGGCACCTAATCACCAGCACACAAAGTCAGTCATCTATCCCACTCAGCCACCACAGCTTCCACAAATAAGGAATTCAGGCAACTGGTAGTCTAGGCCACAAACTTGGTGTACTTTGATAATTGTAAATTGGCACAGCTCCCATGCTGAAAGCTATGAATGCACAATGCCATGGTTTGGGTTCGAATCCTGGAAGGGACTCAACCCAACAAAAGTACTAGAATCTGTACTTTACTGAAAAGGTGTAATCCCCAATAGAACATGTTAAACTGAAAACACCATTACACTTCAGCCAATAATTATGTGGGTAATGGGCATCTGACAGTTACATGCAGTGCCAGAAAATCATGTCGTTTGTAGCACATAACTGTAAGGTTGCTGAGAGGACTCCAAGGACTACCTGTGGGACACTTATGTATTACCAGGGATCACAGGTGCATTTAGTCATGCCTAAAAATAGATTTGGAGCAATCATTTGTCCAACGAGTTGGTGTGATCGAATGACTTTATCTTGATAAGGTCCAGTGTGGTGGTTTGAGAACAAAAGGCTATCAACTGCTTGAACTATAATAAACATGAAACACGTGAATTTGGAAGGCTAAATAATCATTTTCTATTCAAGGTTATATACATTTGGATGTGGTAATTTGTAAAGAGAGAATAGACTTGCCATTTATCAAACTGTCAGCACTTACTGATAATGTTGTCAGATAACAGAGAGTATACTGCTTTGGAGGACACTATTCAATACCTGATAGACACATTATACGATAAGAAACAAATTAGAACATAAAATGAAGTTGTAGACATTGTTTTTTATTTGACTCAGTTTTCGTAATGAATGTGATTTTGAATAGGTTAGGAACTAAAGCACACAAATTGCAAGGTGAGTAACCAAATCACACTACACTGTTATAGATGTTCATTTTACTTTTGGTGTTACAAAATGATTTCATTCCTCAAATAAGATGAATAAGATGAAGCTGAAAAATGTTTAAGATGCTTTTTGTTGACTAATAACATTACATTTTGTTTAGTATGGATTTAATAACCCCTTTTGAGGATCATATGGATATGTTTGTAATAAATGGTAATTTGTGAATATATGCCAACATAGATGGAGGATAAAAATGTATCACCCCAACACAATAACAAGTGAACTTTTTAACAGGATTCAAAGCTGATTGAAGATAATAAACACCAGATAAGAAACAGTTCTGATTGTTGTATTTGAGATATGATCAATCCATACTCCTAGTGGTGCTAATCATCTGTTCCTGTGCTACAGTAACCTAATGCCTTGTAACACAACATGCTTGATTAAAAAAAATAGACTCCAAATCTTCTGCTCAGCCTTAGTGCAGCCAGCAGTACATATCTGTCAGTGATGTTTAGTTTTTAAGAATCATCCCTTGCAGCATTACCTGTATATACAGCACATGTGACATCTAAGTAAAATAATCTTCTTTTTCTTCTTCTTCCTCCTCATTATGTTCCATAGAAATGGTAGGCAGCATACACATACTGTTTACACAGTTAATAAAAACAACAAGAAACATGTCCATAACCATGAAAAAAAGCATGTTCCTTGGCAGATTCCTACTGCATCATGACCTTGTGTCACAATCACAAATACTGATGATGCCAACTGTCCACAAAGAGGTGACTGAACCCAAACTTTGTCACTAGTCACAAATGTATTCATAACTAATGGTGTTTTTGTTGTTAGAAGTATTGTGCTGGATGGTTCCTATACTGGTAGATTTGGCTTCTTTTTGGTTGTATTCCTGACAGTGTATCTTGTCCTGGCCAGCTGGTAATTATGGGTGGGTTTTGGTGTTGCCCTTCCAAACCTTTCACCCGTTGTCCTGAAGGTCGTCTTACTATACTGCTGCGAAGTCCATTTACCTCCCGTGATCGGACATTCACACTGTCCTCCATGTTACCACTGCTGCTGTTATTCTTGGATGCCTGTAGTTCTTTTACTACTGATTTGAGATTCTCAAGAGTCTTTTCCTTCTCAAGATGTTGTTGATGAATCTTTTCAAGTTGGGGCGTTCCTCTCATCCAACTTGAATTTGTCATGTCTGAGTTGAGACACTTCCTTGGCTAGAAGTTCTATCTTACTTCTAGAAGTAGTCCTTTCTGATTCTAGTTTGTGGATATGGATGGAGTATTCATTCAGTTCTCCTTGCAGTTCTGTCAGTCGTGTTTCCTGACTTTGAAGCTTCTCTTGCTGGTCCTCAACTTTTTCTATTAACTTCTCTACATGATGGCACAATGTAAAACTGTCATCCTCATCCTCATAAAGCCCTGGCAGCTTCAAACATTTAGTGAGCTCTTCCTCAGCTCTATTGAGATTTTCCAGAATTGATCTGATTTCTTTTTGGATGATTTCAAAGGTCATGTCTTCTGGAAGGAGGTTGCTGAAGTCTTTGCGTGCCTTGCTCTGGAGGTGTGGTTCCAGAATGACATGGATTTCAAATAGTTTTTGCTGAACATCGCTAACCTGAGATGCCACAGACTCGGTTTCAGTGTCTGCGGGAGATTCTGGTTTCTCAGCCAAAGACTGAAGGCGGATCCTTTCATCATGCAACTGTTCATTGAAAAATCTCTCTAATGCCTTTTTGTCATTTTGGGAGACTCTTTTACTCTGACCAAACTGCTTGTGGACAAAAGTCCCAACTCTTTTCCTAATATCACTGTCTGTTTTATCTGGATGTTGAGGAGTCTCTAAAAGCATAAAACATTTGTCATTTGAGTATCATCATTTTAAAGCTGCAAATAATTGACATACACTGGATGGTGATTTTTGCTAAAAATAATGTCACATATGTTATATTTGGGATTACACTTTTGGGATTAAAGTATAGAGTCTAGTACTTTTTTTGTTGTTTGTTGGGTTGAGTCCCATCCAGGATTCAAACCCACACCCTCAGAGTCAGGCACGTAATCGCCAGCACACAAAGTCACAGGTACTTCCAAATAATGTTCATAACACCCATGTTTAGTTAGTGTGCCTGAAGTACTTAGCTTGAGAGGCCAACATCAGACACAAGGACTGATAAAGTTTTTGTAAGGACTTTTCTTTATTCACTTATTCTTGAAATGTAGATCTGATTATATTTTGTTGATGGGGTGTTCTCAGTGTTTACAAACTGTTGCCTGTTATGCTGTAAGGAGTTGCCTCCCTTGTACCTTGACCTACCTGTGATAGAGAACAGTCTCTCCACCTTGCCATGCTGTCTACCTGAACTTGGCTGGTGTTTGCTCTTCTCAGCCAGGTAGCTGGACTCCAGCATGGCGGCAAGCCATGGGTAGCTGTCCTGGATGATGTTGATGAAAGTGTCAAAAGCTGACGGTCCACGTTTAGGAAGCATTTCCAGCATCTTGTACACTCTGTCACTATCTGTAGGTTGGCTCTGAGGAGAAACACATTACTTCAAATCTCATTATCATCAATTAGTTTATGACTGAAGATTGAATCAATGTTCATTCTTCAAGTTACTAATCAATCTGAAATGGAATTATTCCTTGAGACAACTTTGCTTGCTGCTTTATCGTTTGCTGAGAGATTGATATGTCATGAACATGGATAGTTTGTTCACTGTTAAGTCTTGCTACAGATTTGATTAATGTCCTCAATTTGTGATTAGGTGTATGAAATAACCATTCTCTTCCCACAGAGGTTACTTGTCATATCTTCCTACGAACCTCTGTTCTAATATGGCCATATTTCCCAATAATTGTAAAACCCCATAGTGTCAAAAAATCGCAACACGAATTATCTCCCTTCTGTCTATCCAATCAGAACACGTGTTACATCGACTTAGATCCAACTTGACTAATACAAGCAAATTTGTTGTCACAAATATCCCCCCTCTGCCAGGGACTTGTGTTGAAGTGACATACAAGACATTTAATGGCTAGCTTGTCCGTTGTCAACGAAGGCGATGGAGACACCATTGATCCGCCATTACATGGCTGAGTTCTGTCTAGAAGAAACGTTTGTGCATCACGCAGGGGAAGAGAATTTAGTTTTCCCGAAGCATACAGAAATTACCGAGGCCTTGTGAATGATCACTTTTGAAACGTTGCTGATTGCACTACTAAATCTGATTGCAACCAATCACGAATCCTGCACATTCGCACCATGAAAGGGCCGTATTAGAACAGAGGTTCCTAGGAAGATATGACAAGTAACCTCTGTGGGAAGAGAATGTGAAATAACATGATCTGGAAGCAAGTACCATACATGATATGGGGTTGGAATGGAGCATTAATTGTGTTGACCACATGTTTTTTCAGGGCCAGTGTGTACGACAACTGTGTGGAACAATGTTTAACTTTTACATTCATGAATACCCAGTGGCATGATATACATTCATGACAGACAACTTTGGTATGTTTGACTTGTATATACCACTGGTGCTATGATTTATATCTTAATAACTGTGATATCAGACACAGTATTCTCACCCTGATAATGTCGATCATGTTCCTGTCAAAGATGTGCTCCTGATACAAGTCCCCGAGCAGGTCCTCTGACAATATGAGGTCACTGGCCAGCTGCTTGAAGTGGCGCTGTAATACTGACCGCTGACACTCGTCCATTCTGCTGAGATCAAACAATAGCACGTAACAGAGTTTTGTGTTCCTGTTAATTGATTTTATTGATGATTGATTGGTTACAGTCCACAACCAAGGAATTGATCATCGAATCTGTCATGAATTATACATTAGTATGGATATATCATATCAGTTCATTTGAGTATATTTTGATTAAAAAAGATTGTTGCAGCTTTATGTCAGCTGATATGTTTAGACTAGAGTGCAGTTATAGTCATGAAGGAGTGTGATATTATATTTGAAGTCATTCAGGAAGACACAGAATCACTGTCCTCATTCATGACTGATGATTGATTGATCAATATCTTATTCAAAACAACAATTTCAATACATTATATATTATAATGTTGGTGTATTATAATAATGATGCCTTTTAGTGGTGGTCCGATTAATTGAAATAATCGAAGATTGGTCGTAGTGACTAAAACGACCAAGCAATCGATCATAATTTCTCATAATCGAACACAACCAGTTTTGGAACACTTGTTTTCATTAACAATATTTTTCACATGGTTGGATTTGTCTGTTACATTTTGTAAGCACTACAAGTTCTTTTAAAGTCATGATTGAATTTATCTTAAAGGCTCCAAGAAATTTATGTTCCTAACATACTAGTCATCCTTTAAAGATGTGAAATTTTGCCAAAAAGTCCCAAAAGAACTACATGTTTTTTTCCTTATTTTTATGTGCATTAACAAATTTCATAAATGACGCTAACCAATTATTTTCGATGATTGATCAGTTGTAATGAACCAATCATCAATTATGAGATTTTAACCAATTTCCAACACTAATGCCTTTATAAAACATTTGTTTTAAGTTCTAAATAGTAGAAATATCAATGGTACAATACAAGTTGTTGTCTGGCTACATTATTTATTTGATTCTAACAGAAATTCTTCTTGCGCAGAGCAGAAGTATGATAACAGATTCCAACTTGAACAGCAACATTACCTTGGTGTCTAGTTCACTTTATCCATCAGGATCCCTCAAGGTTAAGTATCCATTATTGATGTGTCCACTTTTCAAGGAAATATCACAGTTTGGGGTTTTGGTCATTTTCCATGCCCATGAAGAATTGTCCCTGTTGATATTGTCAGTGGTGTAATATCTGTATGGTATCTTCCCAGACTGTATACATCAGGTAATCTGATAGCTGACGAAATATACCAAGTAACACCATTGGTAACAACAGATTACCAATCATATGTTCGCAGCTTGCATGACCATATTGTCTGATCCAGAACGGGGACCTCATTCAATATCCAGCCTTGGACGTCAACATGAACCTAGTCAGACATTCATTACATTAGTTTTCCATGTACAAATACATTAAAGAAGGACTAGGAGAAATGAAGAAAGAATTGTATATATGCTACTTGAAAAATCAGCTTTGTCTTGTATCAGACAAGGGTCAAATAGGGCATATCAGCAGATGATCTACGTAAACATGTATGTAGTGTAGTGGTTTGAATGAGGCCATCTTATGCCTGGATAAGATTAAGTCATGTATGACAGATTTAGTACTGGCTAATTGAGTCATATACCTCCAGCAGATTATAGTCTGTACTTTGGTGTGAAGCCTGTATCAGAATGCTGATGAATAATAAGCAGGGTGTAAGAGAGGAAAATACAAACCTTAACTCAATATCTGTGAAAATGATAAGTATGACAGTAGTCCAGATCAAATCGCCATTGGGTATTCGGGGTAGATTATATCTCATGCATGTATGCTTGTTACAAAAGCTCCTACAGATGTGACTCTGTGATTGTGTTATATTATCTTCATTATGCTCTGTTTGTGGAACTGTTGCTCATGCTGTTGTGCTATCATCTACTTGTTACCTGTCTATGTTATAACTACGTAAGTGCACTATAATATATACACATTCTCATCCTCATGTAGTTTTTATGTCAAATAGATCACCATAACTTGGTAAAGGTTTAGAACTCCAAGGCGTATAACTCAAGAGGGTGAGATTCTATCTCCCCGGGGGCGGTGGGGTAGCCTTGTGGTAAAAGTGTCCACTTGTCATGCTGAAGACCCGGGTTTGATTCCCCACATGGGTACAATGTGTGAAGCCCATTTCTGGTGTCCCCCACTGTGATATTGCTGGAATAAAACCAAACTCGGCTCACTCACTCACTCACTCACTCACTCACTAACCAATTCAGGATTTAAACTTTTTCAGTTTGGAAACAGTGATAATCAGTATCTTGGGTAACATAACAAAGTATGGTATGGATTTACAACTTCTTTATTATCTATAACACTACATTGTGTTATAAATTGTCTTATCTTGTTGTAATGTTACCTTCCAACTTCTAAAAGCCCATCAAGCATCAGTATCTTGGGTGCAAAACATAATGCTCACCAGCTTCAGTGGCAGAGAAATTAGTGATGTCATTTGGTTGTGACATCCTAGTAACCAATGACATCACAATGGTTTACAAAGCAATGTGTTACTATTAGATTGTGATCTCATCTGATCCATATCCCATGTGTCAGCCAGTTTGGGATAAAGAATATTGCTTACTGATGCTTGAAGTCAACATTCACTCTGTCAGATCAGAGCTGGTCTGATACCAGTTAGATGACTTTAGCATTTAAGTTATAATATTCTTCACACACATCAGAAATTATTGTGTATAATTGTCTTATCTTTGATAATAATATCTTATTTTTAATGTTTTATCTCTTTGTCTCTTTATTGATTAATTTACTGTACTAATTTGCACATAAATTTGCACTGATGTTAAGATGAGTGATAACAAACCTTGCATGTTTGTTAATACCAGACATATTTAAAAACTATAACACATAGATTTGATAAGGTGTAATTACTAGTCCTGATATGAGAGCTGATGCTAAGTGCATTGTAACATAGTGTAATATTATTGTATAACAGAGTCTCTCCACCTGTGGTTTATAATACCCTATACTACCTTGTCACTGGTACTTGACTCTATGGTGTTGGGAACAGGCTTTGTGGTGATAGGATATATGAAGGATTATGTACAGGGGCCATACCAAGTTGACAACAGTGTTACGTGTTGCGTGAAATATTCTTTATGTTGGCCAAGGTAGGGTTTAGTTACATGAGACATACAAGCCCTTGAAGGTCTTTCAAACAATCTGCACAATTTGCTAACTTGAATATATAGGGAATCACACCCTAGTGTCTTTTGATATCAAATATATCACCACGCGTTGATAAAATTACAAATTGTTACTATTATCAACGAGTGTTCACATATTTGATATCAGAAGACACGAGAGTGAGATTCTATTTATCATAAAAAATCACTCTTCATTCGTTTTCAATGAAAAATGTACATCTCTGAACAGGGTACTGCCATTAGACTTGCAGCGTCATGCAGCGATGTCATAGCATTGTGACATCATCAAGTTAATGATTTCATAGTATTGTGAGTCATGTAATTGATGATGTCAGGGCATTGTACAAAATCTACTGTGAAAACGATATATCTCCTAGCTATGGGCAGTATCGTTTGATCTCACACAAGCAACATCTCCTGAGTTTTGGATGATAAATCTAGTATATTCCTTGAGTTGATTTTGTAAGACTTTTATGAATACAGATTTAGATATCATTGTTATTTTGCCTTGATTTATTATTTATTATTATTCATTGTTATGGTCGGATTATTGATATTCAAGTTTGGATCTTGTTGAACAACCATAAGCTGGAGTATCACTAGTGAACAATTAATTTTCGTCTATTCATTGAAATCAATGCATTGGCTAAACATGTCAATCTCTAGAGCATTCATTTCACACTGAAAGTAAAAACATAAGTCACACCAACTGAAACCAACTATTTCACCAAAATGGAATGTCAGGAATCGCCATGTAAAATGAGACATCACATGCTGCCTTTTCCTTTTTCCACATGAATGAAATATATGTTTTGTTGGAATAAATGCAAATCCTCAGATTGTGATCATGTGTGTGGGCTAACACCTCCATCCACTAATGCATGGCAGTTGCAAGTTCAAATCATTGTAAGCTGTAATCAGACATTTACATTGGTTGTATCCAATAGAAAGAAACTGTACCGGACAAAATGGGTGTGCAAGAGTAGATTGTTTGAAATAACTAATTTCCCCTAAATTCATTTTATTAAACTTCGACTTCTGATTGTGTACTTTGACAACACAAACAATGCAAGACAGATTTGTTGTAAAAATTGTGGTGTTAGTCAATGCTTAACCCACAATATGAAAAGAAAAATGTGATTTGTAAATGTAAATATGAATGTAAATATCCTTTTTGCGGACATTGGTTTGTGGACATTATTGTTTTCATTCTTATGATGTTGTTCTTGTATTATTATCATGTTATATTTTCATGACTTTGAATCAAATAAATATATTTAATCATAAAAGGAACATGGTTCTGGTGAACTTTATTTGCCATAAGATGATTTATTTGCTCAATTGGGCTGCTGCTGACCCATGAAGGTCCCGGGTTAGAATTGATCTTCAGTAACCCATGCTTATCGGAAGAGGCGACTAACGGGATCGGGTGGTCAGGCTCGCTGACTGGGTGGACACATGTCATCGTATCCCAATTGCGTGGATCGATGTTCATGCTGTTGATCGCTGGATTGGCTGGTCCAGACTCGATTATTCTACAGACCGCCACCATATAGCTGGAATATTACTGAGTGTGGCGTAAAACTAAACTCATTCACCCCCCATATGGGCTGCTATGAATTCACTATGCAGCAAATATGATACAGGTCAGCAGTTGGAGTATTATTCATCAAACACAGTGAAACAACAAATCAAATATATCTGTTTACATGTTTTGATCATGTTGACAGTGTTAATTTATTATGACAGTGACTCGTGACCACATTACTGTCAAATTACATATAATTAGTGTTGATTAGTATACTGTCTGGATTGCATATATTCCATTTTGCATATCTAGTTTTGAAAATAACACCCTAATAATAAAACATTCTTTTTAAAACATTTATGAATACTAAATTCTATCGATCATGAATAACAAATTTAATTCATGAAGGGATATGGATATTCACCAAATACATTAATGAATTGTGGCAGCCCTATAATTCTTGATGTTTACAACAATAGCTGAATTTAAAGGTGAGAATTTATGGATTCCAACTTCATTATTTTGAGTAACACAAACGTTTCAGAGTATGTTCTTACTCCTTCATTAGGTGATTCTAAATGCCGTTCAAAGACTCTGAATCTAGTTGCTTTGATAACTGGTGGGATTTCTGTGCCAAGGGAGGTAATCCTTGTAGCCCTATTGGTGGCATCCACAGATTACACTTGTGGGGGTGCTGATGTCACAGGAGCCATGTCACCAAACTTTGAGAAAATATTGGATCTGACAGTGACATGTTGCTCATACGACTTTGTCAAGTCACTGCCTTGCCTGTACCAGCAGATGTGTTGTCCCAGCTACTGGGATATGGATTAGGGTAACATGTCAGTGTCACTTACATGTTGATTGGGTGTAACAGGGTATTTGAGCTTTGATTCTTCAGTGAAACTAACTGTTCAGGTAGTTATTTCATGCACATTCAGAAACCTAGCAATATTGTCTAATTCCAATAACATGTGTCAGGTTGCCACAGAATATAAGCCTGTTTGGCCAATGCTAATAGAGAAAATGAACATGGCCCAAGAAAATTTAACCATAAGATTAAGACATACACTATAGCAAAGAAATTGTGACAAAAGTTTCATGAATTGATACATATCACGATATCTATTATCGTGGCATTATTGCGTAAATTTAGTTACATTTTGAACATTAATATTTCATATTTTATCATTGTCCATGAAAAGATCAACATTTTTGATTCTCAGAGATTAAAAAGTTCTAATTTCCTATCTTTGTGCATGAAAAATAATCATTTATAACTCTCATAACATCAAAAGACATGATACAATTGCAAAATGTTAACGATACATAAACATATTTAAACCGATACTTTCAAAACTAAATATCGATACAGTTTTGAATGTATCCATAATTGTATCGTCTTAGAAAAAGTACCGATGTATCGTGGCATCACAACTGTTTATGCTTAAAGAATTATTCTTTTTCTTCTATTCACTATAATATTTCAAGCTTATGGTTTGTATTAGGGTTATTTATCCATCACTCTGCATCCATGATTCATTCATTATTATGCCCCGCCATATATGGCTGGGGGCATATAGGGTTACCCTT